TTTTGAAAATGTTAAGGCATTATGGATATATGGTGTGAAGTAAGTCATAAAGAAAATTAATCGTTTTGCACCCTCTCGTAGTTCTATAACTAATCGGCATTTAGGAAATACGTTACGATTTTACCTAAAGATTTGTTTTCAACCTAAAGTTTGCCGCACTTTAAAGTATCGAACAAAAAGAAATCACTGAAATCAGCAGAACCCTATCACAGTTTGTAGTCAATCAATGAATGCATTGTGCTAATTGAATACGATTACCTCTGTGGTAAGTCCCGATTAATGATGTTATATTTCCGCAAGTTGACAAGTTCAACGCACCTGATAAGAAGACCATTACACGTTGACAAACTATCGGTATCGCAGATAATATGTCAAACTAGTTGAAAACTAGCAGGGAACAGCTATAAACAGATTTTTTACATTTCCAAGCTGTCAACAAGTTCATGTAACATTTCCCACAGTTTCGGAAGTTTTCTGTTCTCTTCGCAATCTTTTTCGAAATCACTTCGTAATGTTTGGTTGTTAAAAGAACTACAGAGCGCAGGAATTAATAACAAGAATCATATTAAATACTGATATCATACAGTATTTAATATGATTTTTGCATATTCTTATCTCAAAAATCCTTTCGGCTCCTCCCCAGTGGCTCTGTAGCTCCCCATGTTAACCCATGTTAATATATGAGATTTTATATTTCATGGGAATTGAATTTAGTCAGCTGTTTCAACTAAAAAGTTGGTTCTATGATATGCAAAAGCGTTAAAAAGTTACAAGATTTACCAATAGGGTGCAGCACTAGTATTTCTTTTGCATTTATGAAATAGCAACAAAAAACAGTGATACGCAATGAGAACTGTCAAAGTAGGATTGTTTACAGGCATGTTTATGTTTTTAATTTCATGAATAATTTGTGATATTTTGCGGATTTTTAATAATTTATTTTTCTCTATTGTTTAGGAGAAGTGGTAGAACATTTTGGCTATGGTAGATGTGTAATACTATAGTATACCGTAAATTTAAAAAAGGAATTTTATCAAACTGTGTCTTCCCCCATTGCAAACGCAAAACTTGAGTATAACTGCAATAAGTACTTTATTCTTGATTCCAACCCCGTACGAAGGACGGGTTCTCTGCTAGTTAATATATAAGGTGATAAACCAAAAACACATGATAACAAATCCAAAACAAACTTTTTTAACAGTCTGTTTCAAGATCACAATTTTACTAAACCTTTCAAAGAGAACCTAATAGAAAATTAAACGACCAAAGTTCGGTCGTTAACGATGCTGACGGAAAACTCGCGATTCGTTCAAGTTGTCAGCGAGACTGTTTGACGCTTCGTGTTGTATTAGCGTCGTCAGAGCGTCAGGAACGTCTTGCGATGATTTGACCAATGACGCCTCGCGCTTCTAATCCGCTGTCTGATTGTTTAACCCAATATCTCGCTACAATACCAGCTGATTGTCAGCTGACTTGGTTATAGGCGGAGACGGCTTGCTTGTAAACAGTTTACGTAGCTACTGCGTGTTTATTTGATCTTTAAGATGTATGTTTTACGTAAATATAACGTATATACATGAACACTACACTGTTAATTGTTGTTTTCGTACTGGTAATGGCTATTTAGGAATATAATTTATTATGAATGGTAACAGTGTTATTCCGTGGCAAATATAAATCAAATTTGAAGTTGATACTGTTAAAAGGTAAAATTATAGCGTTTTTGAGCTCAACTACAAGATATATATTTAATAGTATGCAATAAGATAAATATAAGACACTACACATTGCTCCCCAATATGTAATGATATTGGACGTATGATACTTTATTTAGGACATGTTATTTTGTGAAATAAATTCTACCACACCTATTTCTATTGTGCTAAATAATTTAGTCTCTTCTTAAAACTCACCATGTAATAAAATCTTGTATGTGTATTTATTAAATTGCGTTAATTAAACTGGAACGTAAAATGTTTACGTTCATACAGTTTGAAATTATCGTGCATATGGAAGCTAAATATGTAATAGAATTGACTAATGATAAAATAAATAGTAATCGTAATTGAATTTTAAAATAAATTCTGTAAACATATTTTTATAAAAAAATACCATTATTAAATTCATATTTAATACATACAATTTCTTCTATATATGTTTATCAGAAAATCAATTTGAAGTAAACAAATTAATGATATGATATTGTAAAATAATTACAAGCATTTCGAAAACGGTTTATTTAGTGAGAAATTAAGATAAACAATGAAACCTAACATGTAATGGTTCAATGATATGTGTTTGGCATTGCCTCCTATATTGTCACAAAACAACAATATAGCGAATAGCTCATTATATATAATGAAGATGAAGTCCTATTGTGTAGACAACCTGACTACAGATTGTGGTAATGGCACCCTGATATACTTAGGTAGGCATCTTAATTACCTTATTATCCCTATACAATCGATAATAATTATTAAGTATCCCTTCGAATTGTTTACCGCTACAAAGGCAAAATACCCCCACCGCAGCAAACCTACCGACTAAGCGAATTTCCATTTGTCTTAATTGATCTAAATAAATATAAATATGCAAATCTAAATATAAAATGCATCCTCAAATTAAAAACGTATACTGATTAAAACTTGTATTTTTTAAATAATTACTCCCACAAAATAACATAGGCTTTTAGTGAGCAGCGCAGTAACTCTAGACTAACAATAGAAAATCCCAAAAGAATAAAGATTCAAAGCACCGCCTGTCGCAGAACGGCTTCAAGTAATTTATTACTTGAGTTTCATGTCCTTTAATGTAAGTAAACATAGAAACATGAAATAATATTGGATAATTAACAAACAAATTAAATTAAATTATACGCAAATTAGATTCACCTACATAATAATAATTCATTTATTAGTTTCTTGATAAAATGTGTAAGTATTTAAGGACGACTTTATCTTGCTATGATGACTGTGCAGTATAATCTTTTGATATTCAAGAGCTTAAAAAAATTCCAAGCCAAAAAGGTCGGAAGAAAGAAGAAAATCAAATTACAATTTTCATTAAATTTACATGTTATAAATTTTCTGGATGTTTGGCGACACATTATAAATATCATAAAATCATCTCAAACATCGATTTGTAGCTTTTGACGCTGACAAAACTCGTTAAAAGTCGGATGATTAATTAATCACGACATCCGCTCTTTATAATCAAGTTCCTGGTGGGACCATCACGTAAATGAAAGGTATCAGCAATCTTTCTCTCATACTTTCTCCCATAAGCTCGTAAACATAAGTATAAACAACCTTTATCATGGGTAAGCGGCGAGAGTAAATATGATATTTCATGGTTAAAAATCACAAAAGTTGCAATAACTTTTCTACCATAATTGTTACAGTAATGGGGGTTGCAAGAATTTTGTTTAGAATTATAAGGATGACAACACATTACTTTTAATAAAAACCGGTTTTTGCCCAAAATCCCATTTCTTTTTAATTTTTTATATGGGAACATAACATAATTTACTAACATAAGTAACTTTTGAACCGTAATTTTTACAGAAATGGGATTTGTACTTTTTTTCAAAATCATTCGGGCCATTTTTTTGAAAATCAGATTTTTCCGTTATTTGATGGGGTTTCATGGGAAAATCAACATTAAAACCAAAATGTCAAAAAAATGAAAAAAAAAAACACTTGGAGATACCATGGATTAGTACCTACATACAAAATTTCATCAAAATTGGACTACTGGTGTCTGTAGCTCTATATACAGACATCACTTCGAAAACCACTTTTTTGGGTTCAGGGGGACCCAAAACGGATATATCCACTCAAAACTCAAACTCGAAAATTTTGACGAAAACAATACTTTCTCCATATACTATGGTATAGGGGGAGAAAGTATTAGGGGTTTTTAAACGAGGATTCATTACTAATAAAATTGGTTTGATAAATGGATAGCTATACATAATAAATAATCAGTTACAGCAAGTCAAAGTATTCGTCAGTAGGACGGTTAAATAATATAATTATCTACTAAAAATGGATAAAGAATTATCATCAAACTACTCAAAAACGACGGTGAACACATTTCGGGCAGTTGAAACCAATAGCTTTATAGACACCAAAGTGGACTGTAATGGATACAACAACCATCTGTCAACACTATAGAGCCATGGGGTGCAATTCAGTTCAGTTGAAGCCATCAAGGTGTTGGGTAAACTAGCCTATATTGTAGCCTGTGTTTGCCAACGCTATAGGTGTTGAACCAAAGCTTTGGTTGTGATTGGTTTTGATTTGTGTTCACAATTTATGGTGTTTGCATTTTGAATGGTACTTTTTAAGTGGTTGGTACAAATTAAAAAAAATATCCCTATTTGAAATGAGGGTTTCCGTAGTTCCAAAAATGTTAATCCTGAGTTCAAGCGTACAAGTTTTTAATTACTATATTTTGACACCGTAGTTTAAGGTGAGAGAGGAAACCTATTGCTTGGTGTACTACCCATCATCGTTTGGAATAACGTTTTAATACTTTAATACTTTTCAATGAAATGGTGACCATACAAAGTAGATATTCTAAGCCAAGTATGAATGGAGATGAGTGTAGGATGAGTGGCGCGATCTTGTAGTCTTGTTAGTGACTAAGGCTGACATATTCCTTACACACAGCTGTTAATAGTCCAAACAGCTAATGGCAACTAAGGGACCTTAGTGGAATCCGAACTACATGTTTGCCTTGGTATATACGAATTGGTCTATTTATCAGGATAGTATTGCGGATAGTGTACTAACTCGTGCGGACGTTAATCCACACCAGGGAGTATCGCATCCACAGTGCATGCCTATAAATATCGATAAATAAATACTTATTTGTTCTGAATTGCCTCCAGGATTGAGCTGTGACAGAATAAATAGGTTTACGTACCCTAAGTCGTCGTTTGGGATTGTCGAAGGTACGACTATTTATTTTGTACTACCTATATGTTATTGTTACAGGTGTAGGGTATGCCATATGTCTTCTAGACGTCTACATGGGCATGTACTACAACACCATCATAGGCTGGGCAGTCTACTACCTCTTCGCCTCTTTCCGTTCCGAGTTACCTTGGACTAGCTGCGACAATCCCTGGAACACTCTCAACTGCACCCCCGTCTTTGACCTTACTCCAAACGACACCTCCTCAACCAGTCCTGCCAAGGAGTTTTTCGAGTAAGTCCTCAATATTTTTAAATGAACGAACGAATTAACTTTAAAACTATCAAGTAATTGATCGTGACAATTTGGATGGCTTGGTTAGGGATGATAGGAAGTCCCCCAACAGTGCTATAAATTATTTCATCAAAAATTTATCGTTAAAATGTTTTATGAAATAACAAAAGTGACAGTGGTGGGGATGGATCGTTGGACATGCCCATCAGATCGCTCCTCTAACTTCTCTAACTTCCTCGAACTCTATCACATTCTATAAGTATTTCATTTAAAGGTACAGAAGTGTTTAATAAACTTAAACACCATGCTATAAATCTAGTATCCCTGTTAAAAATATGCTAATTGTTAGGCCAGGAGTGCAAAAAGAATTTTTATATTTTTCTTAAAATGTAGTTTGGGAACTCAGTACGCATTTGTCTACATGATTCATATAATTATGAATTAAAATTATAAAAATATTATTATAATATTTGCTTTATTAAAATATTTGCTTTCTAAAATGGCAAGTCATTTTAGAACGCATGTATATTTTGAGGTTAAATTGCATGTGTTGCTAAAGTAATTTATGGAACCAATCACTTGAACTATATCCCTATTTCTATTCAAAGTGTAAAAATACTTAACCAAGCGAATTGTACACGAAAAAGAACAAAAGATTTAATTATTTTCACCCTTATAACGGTTCAAATCCAGTGTAAAATATCGCCAGAGCTACCGTTGTAGGATTACACGGAAAAATAATCTTGGTTAGGTACAAATGCGTTTTACAACGTAAGCTTGTTGTTTTTGTGAAATTATGATTTCCCCCTTAAAGAAATCTATTACCATGTGTTTACCAACATATTTTTTTTATTACAGATCGATAACTGTGATATTCTACCTTAAAATTATAAATAGGGACTTCATCGAGCTACTGTTTTTACCAAGTATGACAAATTGAACGTAACAGATTCGGACGAATCAGTTTAGCAATGTTATGTGAGACATTTCCTTTCAACTCCATTGAAAATAACTGTTCTGCAGGCTGCTTCCTTGATGTAATATAAATATTCAAGAGTGCTGAATGTTGTGGTCACCCTACTAGGCAGGTTCTTGTCTGCTTACAAATTCTCTAATTTGTTCCTTTTTTCTTCCAGATGACCTTAATTTGTTACCAGCATCTCAGGTTTTTTTTAGCAAATAACTGATATACTTCAGGATTTTCTGTGTACATAATTGGGATGGATCAAATCATAAAGTATTTTTACAAAATGTGGGCAGTACTCTGAATATTCTTAATATCTTCTAAATATTTCCAAATGTTAAGTAAAACTTTAATTCTTAATGGAATAAAAATATGACTTTGAACACTTAAAAACTCTATGTTTATTTTAGAATATAGAAACAAATTGCTGAACTTCAGCAAATATTAGTTAAAATAACCATGCATTGTATTTTTAGAGTGGCCTATAGTTATGTTATAGAGTGGTGAATGGTTAGGTTAGGTTAGCTTTTTTACTTTCTCCCCCTATACCATAGTATATGGAGAAAGTATTGTTTTCGTCAAAATTTTCGAGTTTGAGTTTTGAGTGGATATATTCGTTTAGGGTCCCCCTGGACCCAAAAAAGTGGTTTTCGAAGTGATGTCTGTGTGTGTGTGTGTGTCTGTGTGTCTGGATGTGTAAAGAGCTAGAGACTACACCTGTGGCCCGATTTTGATGAAATTTGGTATGTAGGTTCTAATCCATGGTATCTCTAGGCGTTTTTTTTATTTTTTAGAAATTTTGATTTTTAATGGGGATTTTTCCATAAAAACCCATAAAAAACCGGAAAAATAGAATTTTCTCAAAAATGGCCCGAACGATTTTGATAAAAATTTAGTATGTTGTAGCCCTTTTAATTCTGAACAAACTGGTAAAAATTACATTTCTCTAAAAATTACGGTTCAAAAGTTATGGTAAATTATGTTATTTTCCCATAAAAACCCCATAAAATAACGAAAAATTGGATTTTAGAAAAAAATTCGGTTTTTTATTCAACATAGTATGTTATGGTCCTTACAATTTTGATAGTTTTTTTCATGTTTTTATAAATTTTGATTTTTAATGGGGATTTTACCATAAAACCCCATAAAATAACAGAAAATAGGATTTTTCCAAAAATGGCCCGAACGAATTTGATAACAATTTAGTATGTTATAGTCTTTTATATTCTGAACAAAATGGTACAAATCCCATTCCTGTAAAAATTATGGTTCAAAAGTTATTGTAAATTATGTTATTTTCCCCATAAAACCCCCATAAAATAACGGAAAATTGGATTTTCCCAAAAATGGCCTGAACAATTTTGATAACAATTTAATATGTTATAGTCCTTAAATTCTGAACAAAATTGTACAAATCCCATTTCCGTATATTTACTCTCACTGCTTACACATGATAAAGGTTGTTGACAAACTTATGGGAGAAAGTATGTGTCAGAATGCTGATACCGTTTATTTTAATTTGGTTACGTTCGCTGTGTTGTTTAGTTAGGTCATAATAGACTACTTAAGATTTCCTAGGTTGTGAAGTGAATTTACAGTGTATTTGCAGGAAATGAGGTAGGCCGAATGTGTCCATAATTAATTTATTTAAGCATACTACAGAGTTTACGCCATAGTGTTTTTGAGAATATTATAGCAGAAGTATGATTTGATTAGGACCACTATATATAGGGTTAGGCAAAGGTATAGACATTAGGCACCCCTTATTATTGAGAGATTGTTGTCATATAGAGGTGTAACAAACTGGTGTAACCCATTAAAAAGTTAGGGTGTTTATAATTTTACCCAACCTTGAATAATTAGATTAGGATAAACGGAAAGCACGGTCAGGCACTGCTCCGAAAGGCAGTAGTCCGAAAATGATTTTCGGACTAGTGCCTTTCGGAGCACTGCCTTTCGGACCACTGCCTGGATCTCGTTAGTTTCACTACATTATTCATAGCTGATGAATCTAAAATTTTACGATTTGTATTAAAATTTGTGTTTTTATTTCTGTCCATAGACGCAGTGTCCTAGAACAACAAAGATCTGATGGTCTCAACAGGATAGGTCCTATCAAGTGGTCCTTAGCTCTGTGTGTAATGGCTGTATTTATACTTGTATACTTCTCGCTGTGGAAGGGGGTTCGGAGTACAGGAAAGGTAAGAAAGTCATATACAGTTGTAGGTTGGAAAACAGTTTTTAAGAGTCTAAACAGCAATTTTGGATGTACCTGCAAAACTTTTCACACGCCACTTAGTTGGGGGAGACCTCCAAAAACAGTAAACGTTTTTCTAGTTTAATTGACCCAACTTTTTTCGCTTAGATAATTTGACGTTCTTGTGAGTTTCTGGACCATCGGTTTACATAATTCTAAAAAAATTCATCTATCTATATATTAATTTGAAACTGTTTTTCTTTGTCATAGCTATTTTGAGAGAACGGCTGGGCGTAGAAACTCGGTAGGGGTGTCTAAAGAAAGGTCTTGGTCTGTAGATGAGCCATCAAAAGAGAAACGTGGTAAATTCCCTCGGGGCTCTCCCCCAGTGGCCTTTAAAGTCCCATCCCATGTTATTCTTATGGAGGAAAACAGAGTTTTTGTCACAGCTAATTTGAGAGAACGGCTGGGCGTAGAAACTTGGTAGGGGTGTCTAAAGACAGGTATTGGTCTGTAGGTGAGCCCTCAAAATAGAAAAGAGGTAAATTTCCTTGGGGCTCTGCCCCAGAGGCCTTTAAAGTTCACTCTGCAATTTTGTTTACATTATGATCATTGAGCGGAGCGAGCGAAGCGAGCGAAGCTCTTATACGTCGACTTTTATGCATTTCGTAATACGCAAACTCCTCCTAGACGGCTGAATCAATCGTTTTCAAATTTTGCATGGTGATAAAGACCATATCGGTGAGTGCCAACATCTATATAGCGTTAAAAAAGTCTCTCAGGAATCCGTAGAAAAATGAAACTGAAAATCACATTTTTTTAACATTAGTCTTATGGGTTGCTAGGTAACCATGTTGGCTGAATTAAATAACAAGTAAAAAGTAAACAAAAGATTTGAAGTTTTAGCATGTGCTCATAATAAGCCAACTACCCACAGTATACTAGGAAATTACAAATACAGTACAAAAGGAAAAACATCACTTGTTAATATTAAGCAAAGATTATACTTAAGATTACTCGATACATTGTAGTCAAGGGTAGCAGTGCTAAGTCTAGGATCTGTTTATGATGAATACATTAAGGTATCTGCAATCCTAAAATGCTATGGGAAGGGAAGGAAACAGGTCCGTGACGTAGGAAGTAGTGAAGGAAGTAGTATAGGCAATCATAAAATGCTATGGGAATAGAGGGAAACAGGTCCGTGACGTAGGAAGTGATGAAGGAAGTAGTAAATGCGAGCAGTCAGGAGTGTGGGGACTGTTTATGACGATAAGATTAGGGTATCTGCAATCCTAAAATGCTATGGGAAGGGAGGAAAACAGGTCCGCGACGTAGGAAGTGGTGAAGGAAGTAGTCAAGGCGAGTAGTCCGGAGTGCGGGAACTGTTTATGACGATTAGAATAAGATATCTGCAATCTTTAAGTGCAATAGGAAGGGAGGGAAACAGGTCCGCGACGTAGGAAGTGGTGAAGGAAGTAGTCAAGGCGAGCTGTCAGGAGTGAGGGAACTGTTTATGGCGATTAGATAAGGGTATGGGCAATCCTAAAATGCTATGGGAAGGGAGGGAAACAGGTCCGTGACGTAAGAAGTGGTGAAGGAAGTAGTAAATGCGAGCAGTCCGGAGTGTGGGGACTGTTTATGACGATAAGATTAGGGTATCTGCAATCTTTAAGTGCAATAGGAAGGGAGGGAAACAGGTCCGCGACGTAGGAAGTGATGAAGGAAGTAGTAAATGCGAGCAGTCCGGAGTGTGGGGACTGTTTATGACGATAAGATTAGGGTATCTGCAATCTTTAAGTGCAATAGGAAGGGAGGGAAACAGGTCCGCGACGTAGGAAGTGATGAAGGAAGTAGTAAATGCGAGCAGTCCGGAGTGTGGGGACTGTTTATGACGATAAGATTAGGGTTTCTGCAATCCTAAAATGCTATGGGAAGGGAGGAAAACAGGTCCGCGACGTAGGAAGTGGTGAAGGAAGTAGTATAGGCAATCATAAAATGCTATGGGAATAGAGGGAAACAGGTCCGTGACGTAGGAAGTGATGAAGGAAGTAGTAAATGCGAGCAGTCCGGAGTGTGGGGACTGTTTATGACGATAAGATTAGGGTATCTGCAATCCTAAAATGCTATGGGAAGGGAGGAAAACAGGTCCGCGACGTAGGAAGTGGTGAAGGAAGTAGTCAAGGCGAGTAGTCCGGAGTGCGGGAACTGTTTATGACGATTAGAATAAGGTATCTGCAATCTTTAAGTGCAATAGGAAGGGAGGGAAACAGGTCCGCGACGTAGGAAGTGGTGAAGGAAGTAGTCAAGGCGAGCTGTCAGGAGTGAGGGAACTGTTTATGGCGATTAGATAAGGGTATGGGCAATCCTAAAATGCTATGGGAAGGGAGGGAAACAGGTCCGTGACGTAAGAAGTGGTGAAGGAAGTAGTCAAGGCGAGCTGTCTGGAGCGTGGGAACTGTTTATGATGATTAGATTAAGGTATTTGCAATCCTAAAATGCTATGGAAAGGGAGGAAAATAGGTCCGTGACGTAGGAAGTGGTGAAGGAAGTAGTCTAGGCGAGTTGTGCGGAGTGTTGGAAATGTTTATGACAATTAGATTAAGGTATCAGCAAACCTAAAATGCTACGGGAAGGGAGGAAAACAGGTCCGCGACGTAGGAAGTGATGAAGGAAGTAGTCAAGGTGAGCTGTCCGGAGTGTGGGGACTGTTTATGACGATTAGATTAAGGTATTTGCAATTCTAAAATGCTATGGAAAGGGAGGAAAATAGGTCCGCAACGTAGGAAGTGGTGAAGGAAGTAGTCTAGGCGAGTTGTCCGGAGTGTTTGAAATGTTTATGACAATTAGATTATGGTATCAGCAAACCTAAAATGCTACGGGAAGGGAGGAAAACAGGTCCGCAACGTAGGAAGTGATGAAGGAAGTAGTCAAGGTGAGCTGTCCGGAGTGTGGGAACTGTTTATGACGATTAGATTAAGGTATTTGCAATCCTAATGCTATGGGAAGGGAGGAAAACAGGTCCGCGACGTAGGAAGTGGTGAAGGAAGTAGTCAAGGCGAGTAGTCCGGAGTGTGGGAACTGTTTATGACTTTTAGATTAAGGTATCTGCAATCTTTAAATGCAATGGAATGGAGGGAAACAGATCCATGACGTAGGAAATTGTGTAGGATGTAGATGTGTGGATTTATGCATCTCCAATACTACGGTGCTTTCAGAGTGAACTAATGATTTTCCCCGAGCAAAGCTCGGTCCCCAGGTACTATAATCAAATGACGACACTAGCTTGAGGTTCGTGACGTATGAAGAGGTTAAGGAAGTAGTAAAGGTGAACAGTCTGGAGTATGGAAACTGTTTATGACGATTAGATTAAGGTCACAACGTTCCTAAAATGCTACGGAAAGGGAGGGAAACAGGTCCGCGATGTGGAAAGTGGCGAAGGAAGTAGTAAAGGCGAGCTGTTCGGAGTGTGGGATCTGTTTATGACGATTAGATTCAGGTATCTGCAATCTTAAAATGCTATGGGAAGAGAGGGAAACAGATCCGCGACGTAGAAACAGGTGAAAGAAGTAGTAAGGTGAGCAGTGTGGAGTGTGGGAACTGGAAACCGTTTGTAGCAGTTTTAATGTATCTGCAATGCTGAAATGCTATGAGAAGGGATGGAAGCATGCCCAAGACATAGGAAATTGTGAAAGAAGTAGTAAAGTCTAGCAGTACGGACAGTGGGGATGTTTGTTGCAATTAGATTAACGTATCTAAAATACTAAAATGCTATGGAAAGCGATGAATACAGGTTCACGACGTAAGTGGTGTAGGAAGTAGTAAAAGCTGGCAGTGCAGAGTGGGGGAACCGTTTGAGCAGATGGATAAATGAATTTGTAATACCTAAATGCTATGAGAAAGGAAGGAAACAGGCCAATGACGTAGTAAATGGTGAAGGAAGTAGTAAGGCTAAAAGCGCAGAGTGTGGGAACTGTCTTTGGCAATTAAATTAATGTATCTGCAATCCTAAAATGCTATGGGAAGAGAGGGAAACAGGTCCACGACGTAGGATGTGGTGAAGGAAGTAGTAAAGGTGAGCAGTGTTGAGTTTGGGAATGGATTAATGTATCTGCAATGCTAAAATGCTACGGGAAGAGACTGTAGACTGTAATATGTTAAAATGATTACGAAGCACAAATCGATACATATTTTCGATACATGCAATCGTTTACAATCGAAATTTACAACTGAGTTGACAACAGCTGATTTTTACTCCATAGAGGCTAAAAACGATTTTTACTCCCTAAATATTAAAAATGCTACTTTAGACCCGCAGCGCATGCATGAAAAAATACTGTTTTTACTGCAGTAAGACAAAAACAATATAATATGAACCCTTGATGACTCCGCTCAATTTTGTGGATGCCTCTGCGAACGCCACCTAGTATGGATAATTTTACACTACTTTTAATGAACCAGCTGTTAATATTAAAATTGTATTCAAAGGTCTACTGAAACTGTCAAAATTAAATGTTTACATTATTATTTATGATTTTAAAATGATTCTCCACTGCATGGTAAGTTTTTTATAGTTTCAACAAAATGATGAATTTATGATACGTTTTAAATGTTTTGTTCAAAAATCTATGCTTTATTGCTCTTAGAAAATGTTAAATTATGAAATAAGTGTGACATATCATTTTCAAAGGAACATATAATTATTCCTTATCGGGTTAGCTTATGCATTGTAAGGTTGGCACTTGCCTTTTTTTCCTACTTTCAATCACCATTTATTTTTCAATTCAAGAGAGAACACCACAAATTCATTTATTGGTATGAAAGTTTTTGATAATCGGGTGGAAAATTGTGTCATAGATGAGTAACTTGCATTGAGGATGAGAGCTGTGTTCAAGTTTTGGAATAGACTAACTACGGAGTATGTTTCATCTATGGTTTTGGTGAAGTAGGTGAACTAATGTCAATTCAGGTATTTTTAAAAAAATGTGCAGGCCTACAGGGTTTTTA